AGGGGAAAAAAACAACAAACATTTAAGTCAGAACATGTCATTTCTCTATTCAAAAATCCCCCATTGGTTCCCTATCTCAAGGGTAAAAGCCAGGGTTCTAATGATCACCTATAACATTCCCTTATAACACTTTGCATAAGACTCACTCCTTCACATCCAAGTCTCTGCTTTGACATCGTCTTCCCATGGAGACTTTCCCTAGTCACCCTATTTAAAATTTTAGTAGCCTTAGTCCCACTGTACTACCTAATCCCTTTACTATTTTTCTCTACAGACCTTATCACTATTTGACATACTATAAATTTTATTTATTGAGCCTTCCGCCAGTAAAATATAAACTCCAGGACAGCAAGAATTTCATCTGCTTTGTTCACTGCTCTATGTCCAGAACCTATGGTAGCTGGCATATGGTAGGCACTCCATAAATATTTTGAATAAGTTCCAAACCTTTCCTATCAGTTCTCAGCTCTTGAACTGGAGACCCACATTTGCAACTGACTATTAGACATCTTTATGTGCAAATCTCAGACACCCTTAAGCCAAAAACTGAACTTATCTTCTCTGTTGCACAAAACTGGCTGCTGCTTCTCCTCTCAACCTAGACTACTCAAACCTTGGATTCATCTTTCATTCCTCCTACATCTAACTGATCTATAAATATTTACAGTTTTATATTCCAAATTTCTTTCAAATTTATTCCCATTCTAATAGCCACTACCTTATTTCAGATCTTACTAAGTTTATTCACTTGACAGTTACTGAACACCCACTCCATCAAGCATTATCTTAGATACAAGGAAATAACCATAAACAAGAGAGAAAGAGTTCCTGCCCACATGAAGTTTACAATCTGGTAAGAAAACAGGACAATCAATGGTCATAAACATAATGTTTAACATAAAAGGGCACAGGGTACCAGGCACCTGGGTGGCTCAGTCAGTGGAACATCAAATCTTGATTCATGGTTGTGAGTTCAAGCTGCACATTGGGCATGGAGTCTACTTTTAAAAAAAAAGTACAGGGTCCTATGAAAGCATTTAAAAACTGGTCTGATCATGTGTGTGGATATGGAGAACTTATCCCACCTAAGGGTTCCTCGGGTAAATGATGTTTGGCTGATATCTGAAGGGAACTAGTCGTTAATTAGTTAATTAGACAAAGGTATGGGGGATGGGAGTGGCAGGAACACTACTGCCAAAAGCATGTATAACAGTTCTGGGTTCAGAGGTAAGGAAAGGCAGTAGTGCAGTGATTAAGAACACAAATCTAGAGACAGGCTACCTGGATTTGAGCCACCACTTATTAGCTGTGCAATCCAGGGGTGAGTTACTCAGTTAATCTCTCTGGGCTTCCATTTTTCTCATTTTGAAATGAAGATAATAGAGGCATTTACCTTATAGGGTTATTGTGAGAATTACATCAGTTAAAGTATGTTGAGTAGCTTTAAACAGACCTTGCAACATAGTATATGCTGAGTGTTAGTAATTAATGAATACAGCCATTCTGAGGAATGAAACTAAATAAAGCCACAGTGGTTGGGATTGTAAGAAACTAAGCTGGGGAGCTGGTAGGAATATAATTAAAAGTTATTTTCTTTTTTTAAGCTTATTTATTTTGAGAGAGGAGAAGGATGCGCATGAGCAGGGGAGGGGAAGAACAGACAGAGGAAGAGAGAATCCCAAGCAGGCTCCATGCTGTCAGTGAAGAACCCAACACAGGACTCCATCTCACCAACTGTGAGATAATGACCTGAGCTGAAATCAAGAGTCAGACTCTTAACCAACTGAGCCACCCAGACGCCCCTCTAATTAAAAGGTTTTATTTTATTTATTTATTTATTTATTTATTTTATTTCTAGGAGAGAGAGAGAGAGAGAGAGGGCGTGAGCAGGGGAAGGTCAGAGAGAGAGGGAGTCACAGACTGAAACAGACTCCAGGCTCTGAGCTGGCAGTCAGCACAGATCCCGACGCGGGGCCCGAACCCACGAACCTTGAGATCATGACCTAAGCGAAAGTCGGACGCTTAACCGACTAAGCCACCCAGGCGCCCCTAATTAAAAGGTTTTAAACAGCAGAGTGACTACTATAATAAAATTCTAACTGGTAAAAATCTCTCCCTCTCCAAACCCCATCCTCCATACTGCCAAAAGAACAATGACTGATCTTCTCAACTCTTCCTTCCAAGTTTTCAAAGGCTCCTCACCTTCTGCCTTCATAACAAAACCCAAAAACCTTACAGAAGTCAAAAGGTCCTTTTCCATATCACTCCATTCTACCTTTATGATTACATAGTTCACCTGCTTTCCTTTCCAAACTATCTTCAACCACCAACATATATGTGCTTTATGCTTCAATATTACAAATATATCACTGTTCTCAACACTCTTGACACTATAGACCCTTGTGGTTCTCTCCTCTGCAGTAGTCCCTTTCTTCATCATTGACTATAAATTTGGTACTATTACAATTCAAGGCATTTTCATCTACATTCAGTCTCTTTCCAACCGTGTGAGAATGACTGCATCTCTACAAAATCTTCAGAAATTTGCTGTTGATGTGGACTTACATATCAATTCAGATAAAATTTTTCCCCTCTTACTTCAAAGCTTGTTTCTTTTCTCTGGGACTCCACACTAAAGCCCCAAATTCTCTTTATAAAACTGGGAGGAGTTTTTATAAGAGATAAAACTCTAAATCAACCCAAAAGTCAGAATCAGTCCATCAAGATCAACAGTGAAACCAAACATTAACTGTCCCGGAAGTCAGAATTAGAGGCATAGGTTCTTAACCAGAGGTCCATGGACTTCTCAGGGCTACAAAGTAGTTTTAGGAAGCCCCTCAAATCGCATGCAAAGTATGTGTACATGCCTTTTTCTGGGGAAAGGGTCCATACCTTTCATCAGAGTTTCAAAGATATCTGTGACCTCCAAAAGGTTAAGAAGTGTTCTAGAGAAAAAGCAAAGACAAGCAAATGTGATTAAAAGAGTGAATCTTTTTTTAGGCTGTCAGGAGTGCCTCATGTTCTCTTAGACTACAAAACCTGAAATCAGGTCAGAGGACATTATCCTATCAAAATCAAATTTAACACAGACCTGACAAAACAGATCTCATGGAAAGAATCACTCCATAACCCAACACAAAATCCATAAAGGCAAGTCACAAGGCTGGTGATGTACTCCAGGGATCTCAAAAGTGGAATAAAAAGAAAATATTAAATCTTCTACTCATATTTCCTTTTTATCTCATTCACTCAAAACTTTCTTTCCTGTGCATGTTTTATAACATACATAACATTATGGCAGAACACTATTTAAGTAAGTACACAAATGACAGAGGTGGTTACTCAATTATTTTTACTTGTCATATCAGGAGACCACAAATATGATCTACATATTTCAGTGCCACCAATTTAAGAGCAACTCCGTGATTCACAAAAACCCACTAGTGCGGTTTAGAATCCATGACTAAGAAACCAGTTTTCACAGAAAGGCTAATTAGTGTCAACTAGTACGCGTCCTCCACACACTTGTTCTCCTAATGCTTTTTTTTCAGCTCATCAAGCTTTAAAGGATCAGTTTTTAGCTTTGGCTAACTAAATCAGCCTGGTTTGTCCAAGGTTCCCAGGATGATGTGACCAAAACATGACCAAACACCTGATGGGAAAACTACTTGAGAAATCGTAAATGGACAACTAACAAAATAAGATATTCTCTTAATTCACCCTAAAATAACTACTCTTTTCTTCTAGAAAAATAATAATCTCAATGTGTGGAAGCTACCAACATTCCTCAAAGATACAACATAAAACCGTCCTATGATTGAGAGTGTCACCCAGTGGTGACACCAAGAGATGCAGGGTCCGGGTCCATCCACGACGTGAAATGGGAAGAGACCGAGCTAACCTCGGAAATGCTTTTCCAAAATATTAACAGCTCTAAGTTGTCTCTCTAGTGGTCAAGGGTACGGGTAGGGGGTAAGGCTGCCGGGAGGAGAAGCGTGTGGGAGAATTCGAGAAACTTTTAATCTGACATATCTGGGCCTTTCCTAACCCTTCAGATCTCGAAACCCCTGGCTTCTACGGAGAGGCCTAGCTTCTGAGGCCTCTCTCTCCTCAGGTTTCAAACTTAGCTCCGAAGGCGTGACCCCACCTAAAAAAAAGGAGTGGAAGCATCCTCTGGATCCTGTTTGAGACTTGGATGGGTAGAAAACACAAAGGTGCCATCTGCTAAGCTGGAATCGCAGCTTTGGACAACGGACTGGGAAGCATCAACCTAAGGAAAAAATAGGGGTCCTGGCTCCGGCACGGGGTAAAGAGGAGGGGACCACTGACGTAATGCAGCTCTGACGAGAAACGAGAAGGGATTATAACAGGTTGAAAGCACTTGCACACCCGGTGGGAAAGTGGCACAGATGAGACAGCGATGAAGAAAGAGCCCAAATAACAAAGATACTCTAAAACCGTGCGGAGAAATGGGAAACTGGGGACGGCGTAGCGGGGACGAAGGGAGGCACAAAAGAAAAGAACTACGGCGGGAGCCAGAAAACGAAGTGGAAAAGCCTGCAAGGTGAACACGTAGGAAGAGACGCAAGCCACCCGGCAGAACTCAGTCCCCAGCAAAGTCCAACTCAGCATTTCCCCGCCTCACGGTACCTTCAGTTTATGGAGCTCCACCGTTTCCGTCGCCATCTTGTTACCCCTCCAGTCCACTAGGCCCCCACCCGCTGCCTCTGCTTCCAGGAGCTCCCGCCTAGGCGCAGACAACCACGGCCGACCAATCGCTGTCACTCTTACTCCCACCTCACACTATCAGCTCTTCCCATTAGTTAATAGCTGACGTCGGTCTCGCTCTTCCAGGCAGCTTTCCCCACCTCTCTGAAAAGGTGGGACTGGGACAGGGGCGGGCTCCGCACTTCCCGACCGGCGGAAATGAAGACCAATTGCGCGGCTCCGTTGCAAACTGCCACCCAATGGGTGGAGGCAGCGCTGATTCTGCTATACCAATAGGAAGAGCGTAGCTGGGCGAGGGCGGCTGCTTCCTGGAGACCACAGGTGTGGAAGCGAGCGCCGCGCCTCCAGTCCCACGGGCTTCTGAAGCCAGCAGGTAGGGGCGGCCGGACGACTGGAGAGGGGTGCTGAGGGAAAATGGTCAGGGGCGTAAGGTGGGGGGGGGAGGAAGGAGACGGAGCGGCGAATTAAATACCGAGAGGAGCTCTGACGGGAGTCCTAAGGACAGCCAATGAACGACAAACGAGAGAGGGAAGCTGGGAGGAGCATGGGGGTGGTTTCAATACCAGGGCTTAAGGAATTTAGGTACAGGAGAGGGACAAGATCTACTTCCCAAACAGGCATCACGTTTAGAGCTAGCACGACGACTTCAGGGAGCCAGGTTCGGACGCTCAGAGCCGCCCCTGTTATCGGGGATAGGGCTCCATCTCTCGGGATGCTAAGCTCAGGTCCCTTCCTAGCTCAACCCAAAAGCCATAGGTAAATACTTGGCAGCGCCGAACGCTTATGAGGAGGAATTGGGATGCTGCCTGCTCACATGCCAAGGGGATGAGAGACGGTACGGGCAAGCCCCAGAGGAAAAGGTGGGGATTAGAAGTAGTTTCATTACCTCACTGTTTCTTAGTGGTTCCTTGTTTCCCGTGACCCTCTAATGAAATTCTAGTGTCTGTAACCTCATCATGATTCCTTATACACTTCCTCAGGAAAGTGAGATACTTGTTTCCCTGGTTGCTTGAAGTCCCTGCCCCAAGTCTAGGCATATCCCTTCAGGTTACAGTTGAAGTGTAAGGATCCGAGTAAAGATTACTATTAATGTCTTAAAGAGTAGAGAGGACCCATCTTGCCTTTTAAGTTTTCTTCCCTAAGCGTTCAGTTTTTCCTTTGCGTACAATGGGGAAGTTGTTTCATACCCAGTAGAGTTCAGGGGATTTGTATTATTCAGGAGACAACTTGGGAGAACAAACTCAAAGAGACGTTGAGAGGAAATTGAGTAGGACCCCTGCCTGATCCCCCACTGTGGTAGGATGAATGTAGGGGTGGCACACAGCGAAGTGAACCCCAACACTCGAGTGATGAATAGCCGAGGCATCTGGCTGGCCTACGTCATCTTGGTAGGACTGCTGCATGTGGTTCTACTCAGCATCCCCTTCTTCAGCATTCCTGTTGTCTGGACCCTGACCAACGTCATCCATAACTTGGTGAGCACTAAACCGCACCTTTATACCTTACCAAGGCCTTCCCCAACCAAAACCAGAATCACCAATTATTTGGGGTTGTTGGTCTTCCTTTGCGGATCTCTGTGTAATTCCTGGGCTGATTGACCACTTTCTGCCTCCTCACACTGACCCATCCGTCTTCCCAGGCTATGTATGTCTTCTTACATACGGTGAAAGGGACACCCTTTGAGACCCCTGATCAAGGAAAGGCTCGGCTACTGACACACTGGGAACAGATGGACTACGGGCTCCAGTTTACCTCTTCCCGCAAATTCCTCAGCATTTCTCCTATTGTACTGTGAGTCCAGGGGGAGATATGGGAAATGCTCAAAGTGCCAAGTACAAACCCCCACAGGGAGGGATGCTTTAAAATAGCTGACTACTCACTTAAACCCTTTGAAGATATTATGGTATGGTTTAAATCTAGAAAGAGTGGTAAGAAGTGGAAGACAGTTAATAGGTTTTCTTTGCTGTCCCTTTGGTGGTAGGGGAATGGAGAAAGGACTACGAAAACACAAAGTAAAACCAGACGGTTTTACACTTCCAAAGAAGTGAATAAATAAGCAGAAATTATACAAATGGTGAAAACTCACTGTGGGGAATGGAAGCAAAGGGACTCTGTCATATAGGCTTCAGGCGTCATTTGCCATGTCTTTAACAATTAAAAAACACTCCAACTAACTTAATCTCCAGTTAAAGGTGCTATCTGATTATCTCCCAACAACACTGTTAAAGTAACCAGAATGTTTTCAGATATTTTAGGACTACATGCAATAAAACTGGTCATTTAAAATAGAAGAGAAAATTACTGGAAAGGCATAAATACGGATAGGGAAGGCCAACTTCACTCAACCCATTTCTTCTCTCCACAGCTACCTCCTAGCCAGCTTCTACACCAAGTATGATGCTGCTCACTTCCTCATCAATACAGCCTCATTTCTCAGTGTACTGCTGCCTAAGTTACCCCAGTTCCATGGGGTTCGTCTCTTTGGTATCAACAAATACTGAGGGATGGGGCTGGGGAGGACACTGGACCCAAGGGCTGTAACATCCTTTCCTTCTCCATACTGTCTTCTGTATCTTGAAAGCCTTACAACTATGCAACCTTTCCTAAACTCCCAGGAAGAGAACAGATAGGAAAATGGGGCTCCCTGGGCCCAGCCCTGTATACAGCAGGTTTCTTTGAATCAGGAAAGGTGGGAAAGATATGGGCCAAATCACTCTCTTCCACAGCAGGAAGCCATATTTGGGCAGCTTGTTTGGTGATTAAGTTTTTCCAGATCTTCCACTCCCACTACCTTCCAGCTCTGTTTCTGCTGTATATTTTCCTTATAATAAAGATAATTTTTTTCAGATATGACTACAGTCTGGTCAGCATTAAGGGTAGGGAGATGTCCTCATAAGACTGGGGAAGAAACAAGGATTAGTAACTTAACTGTATAAAACTTATCTAAGGTATTTTTTATCCCCTCTCCCTTGGTCCAGTAGGAGGTGCCCTTCACTCTCAGCTAAGACTTAGTAGGGAAAGGATTCTCAAGTGAGAGAAAGGGCTCCGCTATATGGGCAAAGAAAGGGAAGATACAGGTTGCCAGTTATATATTTATAGAAAGATAATCCCCTGGCTTTAAATAGATATGTACATACAAATATGAACAAACTTAAAAAAATACAAACCCTTGGATCATAAAGGAGCTGATTGGAGCCCCTTTTTCCTTCCCTCTTACCCAAGAGCAGAGGGCATGAGTCTGCTTTTTAAAAATAATTAGTTTTGGCCATCCCTGCAGCAACAAGCATGAAGTTGGGTGATTACCCACAGGGTGAATGTCACAGGAAAAATGTAGAGTTCCCACTCTCTGAACTCTATAATCTCCTATAATTAGGGCTACATGCTTTCTTGTTCTGTCTTTTAACTAGTATGTTGGGGTAAAGGAGGGGGCTCCCTCCTGAAATGAGTCAGGAAATAAGATAGACTTATAGTTTTAAAAGAGGGGGGAAAGGGTCATCTGCTCTAGAAGCAAAAAACAAAGGCATACAGACCCCAGGGAAATACCCAGTTCCCATGCTCCCATGGGAGATACTGTCCAGCCCAGATCCAGGCTCCAGGTTCTTTGCTCTAGCCACCCCCTATTTCTTTGGTATTGTCAAAAGACAAGATTCAGTTCCTAGGTGCTGGTGGAGGAGGGAGAGTGGTTCCGGGGCTTCCTATAGGTACTGAGTGAACAATTTAAACTTAAAATTTTCCCTTTTTTCAATATTTAAAAATAAACAAATCAAACTCCATCCTGTGCTATACACAGCCCTTTTGACTCCCTGACATTGATCTGAGGAAAGAAGAGAAGTGGTGTCAACGTTGGAAGGGCCTCCTCACTTTCTTCCGCCGCTTCGGTTTGGCTTCTCCCTTGGGTACTGTGCTGTTGGGCTTAGAGGCTCCAGTGGCCCCAGGGCCAGGCTGAGGAGCTGCAAAGAAGTTCCCATTGGACATCTGGCCTGGGGGTACTTGGAAGATCCTGCTCAAGAAATCCTGAAGGTCGGCAGGAGGGGCTTCTGCAGCTGCTCTGAGAGGACAGTAGAAGACATAATGAGGCAAGAAATACTGAGTTATATTGTTACCTGTTTATACCTAAGTTAAAGATGTACTAAGTCAGCTGCCAGATTGATTAAGGGTGAGACATCTAGGTGTCCTAAACAGCATGTCATCTGAAATCATATTCAGAACTAGAATAGTAGGTGGATTGTTGAAAGAAATAACACTTACCTCTGCCGCCCACTGGTGCCTGGAATCCGAGAACCAAATGAGATGTGATAGGGGACTCTATGGGTATCTGGGGAGATTCCCACACGCTGGCATCCAGCCCACTCTGCAAGCATAAGAAGTAATTAGCCAAAACATTACAGTTGTGAGCGTACATAAGCCCATATTTCTATAGAACAGAAGTATACCTGTGATGTCATACACCTTTCCATCCATTAGCGCAAAATAGGTGATCTTCAGGCCCAACATGCTTGACTCTGCCCAAAAGTCTCCTTCCTCAGCAGGATGCAGCCTATTACACTCAGCACAATATCTGGCACTCTTAGGTTCCCGGTCCATTTCAAACCTCCTACAACCCAACAAAAAGACAATTTCTTAATAATCTGTCAAGCCTACAGTATTGCTATAGTATCATCATTATAATCACTTCTCAGCCTTTTGGCTGAGTATATAATATCATTATTAACAAAGATGACTGAAACATCTAAACTTATCTCCACTCAGTTGTTACATATGCATACAAACACCCTTACCCTCAACCTTCTATCTTAAACTAAAAATAACTACCTTTTATTCTTATTGCTAATTCAAATCCCCAATCTCTTGATATGATGGCAAGAGCAGAAACCTCAGGGTCTTTTTACTCATCATCTGTATCCCCCAACTACCAGTAATACTCACAAGGAGGTCTTTGACTACTCAAGCCCTAAGCTGTGGCTGTCCCATTCCTGTCCTATTTCATACCTATGCTTTCCCTGGCATCGGCTGCACATCATGGTATTCATTGCCTCTTTGAGATCATCCTGCAGCTTGGACAGAAACTCATTCACTGACCGGCTCAGCTCATTCTCTGCCATTCGTTTCCTAAAAGAAAGCCTTTGTAAATGAGAGGGTATTGAGCAAGGGACAAAGGGAGATTAATCTTTTATCTTCTTGAGGCCCCTGGCCAGCTAGAAAGATAAGCAACCCCAATTCCTTCCACCTCAGAAAGCATCCTCCATCCATAAGTCCAAGGACTTCTACTACTGAAGATTAATCATTTACCCTACTTGACAATTTCCCATTTCCCACTTACATTTCATATTCTTTCCGCCTTTCAGGGTTGCTAACAATGTCCCAAGCTGCCCGCAAAACCTTGAAGGCCTCCTCAGCCCTGGGATGATGATTTTTGTCAGGATGAACCTACGAAGACAAAGATTTCCTCACAAATCTATTCCAACTCTCTCCCCATCTTAGGTCAAAATAACCTCATATCAAAGGGCTCTCTTTGACCACCCTTTTGGAGAGTCAATACAGCTAAATGAGTAATTGCTCTGGCTCTGCAGACAGTTAATAGGATCAAGACCCAGCTCTGTCACTATTACCTATATGACCTAGAATATTATATCTACCATGGATTACTGGGAGTATCAAATGAGAATACACAAGTACATAGAATAGAATCTGGCACTAGGGTGATCCACCAAATCAGTGTGCTTGGGATTGTCCCAATTTTAGCATTGAAAGTTCATGTCTCAGGAAATCCTCAATCCCAGGCAAGCAGGGATGGTTGGTCACCCTACCTGGTATATACATACTAAGCCCTCACATCTTAGCTTTATTGTCAATCATAAAGTAAGAGTTCCAAAGATATTACATCCTCAAATCCATTCTTTTCTAACTAGAAAATTCTTAAAATACTTCCTACAGCAGTTTGCCTTTTTGTCCCAGAAAAGAAATCTAGCATATTGTGATCCTCACAGGCTTTTTACCCGCTTTTCAGCCTTTTTTTTAGGAAAAATAGTATCCTTGCCTCCTACAGCTTCATGATTGTTCCCATCCTCATTTTCCAAAAGTGCAGAATGAAGCTAGTCTCCTGATGATGCCAATTAAATAGAATGCTGCTAAATATCCCACATACCCAAACTTCTAGAATAGCCTTTTAGTCATGGTCACTCTGGGGCCTAATAAAGCAATGAAAGGTTCTGTCAAATAAGTCCACAGACACTGGCCCAGAACAAGGGAGAATTCTTACGTGTATTACCAGGTGTGTTGAGGGATTGGGAGACTTAACTTTCATCTCTACTCCAAGAAAGCAAGGTGAAAATGAGAATTTTTGTGAGAATGATATTCCCCAAGAGAGGATATCTGCTAAAAGACATAGAAGTGAGGGGTGCCTGGGTGGCTCAATGGGTTGGGTTGAGTGGCTGACTTTCGGTTTTGGCTCAGGTCATGATCTTGTGGTCGTGGAATAGAGCCCTATAAGCCTGCTTAGGATTCTCTCTCTGCCCCTCCCCCGCTTATGTGTGCTCTCTCCCTCAAAAAATAAAAATAAACTTAAAAAATAGAAAGACATGAAAGGCAGAAAAGAGCTCTACTACTACTATCAAACTGAGTAAGCTGTCCTTCCCCACTCTTAAGAACAAGCCCCCGTGTATCCACTAAGGGGCATGAATTTCCCACCAAACTAATTTAGTCCTCTGCTAAATTACAGACCTGGTACATTACCGTGTCTTGAATAGTTAATGTTACCCATTCTTCTTTGGTGTTATGCCATCACTGAGGTAATTTACACACCAAGATATTTACCAGTCCAGTTCCATACACTCAAATAGGCCTCCAATGGAATTTACACACATTATATTCGTAATATAGTTTACAGAAATAGCAATAATATGAAATATAATAATGTGAATAATTATATTTATAATATAACTTACAGAAACAGCAATAATAATCACATCTAAAAATAACCTAGTATCTATTAATAGCAATTAGATTGCATGCTTGTATTAAACCATTTCTCTCAGGCATACGGTGTATCACAATTGCCATCTGTACTATGCCCCCTTATGAATAAAAGCAACCATATCGTGGGGTGCCTCGCCGGCTCAGTCATTAGGGCAAATGTAACTCTTGACCTCAAGGTTATGGGTTCAAGCCCTACGGTGGGTATAGAGATTACTTAAAACCTTTAAAAAAAAAAAAAGGTGGGGGTGTTTGGGTGCCTCAGTCGGTTAGGTGTAGGACTCTTGATTTCAGTTCAGGTCATATGATATCACAATTGGTGAGATCAAGCCCTGCATTGGACTCTGCACCAACAGTGTGGAGCCTGCTTGGGATTCGCTCTGCCCCTCTCTCACTGCCCACCCCCTGCTCAAGGTCTCTGTCTCTGTCTCTCAAATAAACAAAAAATAGTAATAAAAACACAGACAACCATATCTTCACGTATGACATACATATGCACATGCCTCTCCATGGTTTATGTCCCATTCTCTTTCCTTTTCCCACTCTACATTGCAATGGTTTTGAAATACCGTGTTTTCTTTCACCTGGTCCTGGAATAATCACATGCATTTCCTGAACCTTCCCACACTAGGTCCACACTTGCCTTTCTGGGACAGATAGTTGGATTTCCCCATGTTCAAAAAAATCCTCATTTCTTCAGGGTAGAGGAATTAACAGGCTTTCTGACTAGGCCTCTTCTCCACCCTAGTTAGAGGGACTTCACCTGGAAATTCCAGGGTGAATGGCCCAACATTGATGCGATAGGTTCATTTCTTTTTATTAAGAATCTCCTGGGGCTCCTGGGTGGCTCAGTTAGTTAAGTGTCCAACTTCAGCTCA